CTAGTTACAGGAGTTTCGGGAGTTTCGAATCCGATACTTTAAACTCTGAGTGAGAATCACCAATAGTTATTATTAAGGACTAATAACCTGAGTAGGTACTCATTTAATTGAAATAATGTGGGTAAATGCGAAAATTTTTTACACCTACTAAATTCGCACCCCACTACTACCCGCTTGAGGATTGAATTCTCAATAAAGGTTATAGGCAATAATCATTATTAGAAATTTATGACCCAAATAAAATATTTTATTGAAATAACTTTGAGAATCAGAACTTTTGTACTAATTTTGCGACCCCCCCCCCCTTGTACCCTCTCAAGTGATTATTTCGAAAAAATATTCAACACGTGTTTCATGACAAGTGACAAAATTTCATACTAACTTTGAACCCCCGTTTTACTCCCTTTGAGGGTAAATTGCCAAAAATCCTTTCTTAGTGCTCCCCTACTTTATGAAAGGAACCTCTGTGCAAAATTACAAGTTTTTAACCCATATAGTTTAGGCCCTAAGTTGTTATATCGAAGTTCAAATTGAATTTTAGGTAAAGGGTGTTCTTTTTAGAGGTATAGAACTTTAAGTTGGCATTACTGTTGAAGATGGCAACCGCTTTAACAGCTGAGAAAAGATTTATTCGCAGTTTGGTTTGGCAATTCATCATGAATAGACTCACGCCTGAACATCGCTTGCAATAGTGCTATTTTATTTCGAAAATAATGGTTCTGTGCGGAATACGTATCGCACACTACGTCCATTTTATTGTCGACAAAATCGTCCATCAGAGCAGTTAATTGGATCAACCATGGAACGTTTTCGCACCACGTTTACTCTTATTGATAACTCGCATCCCCAGAGACGCCGTACGGTGCGTACAGAAGAAGCTATTGCTACTGTAGAACGTAGCATTGAAGAAGACCCGAATGAGTCCATCCGCCATCGAGCACAGGAATTGGATTGGTGTCCATCCACTTTATGGAAGATTTTGCGGAAGGATCTTAGTTTGCGTGCTTACAAAATCCAACTCGTGCAAGAATTGAAGCCAAACGATCATCAGGCAAAGGGGTAGATTCGTCGAATGGGCTCAAAACGAGATTGCCGTTGTTCCAGATTTTCATAAGCGAATTTTGTTTAGCGATGAAGCGCACTTCTGGTTGAATGGCTACGTCAACAAACAAAACTGCCGCATTTGGAGTGAATATAATCCTCAAGTGTATGTCAAAACTTTTTCATTCCTGAGTTGAACAACCATGATGTCCAAGAGCTGTGGTTTCAACAAGACGGCGCAACATGTCACACAGCTCGTGACACAATCGATTTATTGAAAGACACGTTTGGAGACCGCCTAATTTCACGTTTTGAACCTGTGAATTGGCCTCAAAGATCTTATAATTTAACACCGCTAGACTACTTCCTGTGGGGCTATGTAAAGACATTGGTGTATGCGGATAAGCCACAAACGCTTGACCATTTGGAAAACAATATTCGCCGTGTTATTGCCGATATACGGCCACAAATGTTGGAAAAAGTCATCGAAAATTGGATGTCACAAGCTTATCTTTCGAATAAAAAAATTCTGGTCAATCGAATGTCGTTGTTTTATTGCAATTTGAAGTTCTATACCTCTAAAAAAAACACCCAGTATTATTACGAATCGTTTGTATGGGACTATAGAAAAGTGTTGTTTTAAGACTTTTTCAGTAAATTTTTTGAATTTTTCTCTGCGTAAGAATCATCCTCGTACTTTAAGGAATATTCTTAAAAAAAGAATTATGAAATCGGTTCAACTCTTCTCGATATTTGCGCTTAGCAACACATTCAGCTACTCAAATTTACATTATAAAAGATATTATTGGATTACTCTATGTAATACGATATATTATATAATTGCATATAATGAAATATGTAAATAATGTTAATGTAAACATAAATAATGTAATATGACAATCCATTTTTAAGAGTAATAACAATGGAGTTTTATTACTCTTGATAATGAGCTAACCACCCGAAACATATTTAGAGTTGTGATTATACTCAGGGAAACTTAAGTGGTTTAGTTTGAATCAATTGATTATATTTTTTGGTCCTTCAATAGCTTTTAAGCTCTTCACTGTGTTCAAAGAGATGTGTGACACTTTCTTTATGTCCAACCTCTGCACTAGGAGCAATATTCCGTCGTATTTATACAACACTTAGCATATTTGCTTGCTACTTACAGCAATTAGATGGCAGAAAACCGAAAGTGTATAAGAGCGTTGTCAATGACTATCTACCTATTCCCTCTCTAAAATGCTTTCAGATCATCATTTTGTAGAGCATATTTACTCACCATATTGTAAAGAAATCAAAACACTTATGCCTCAGTAAAATGCACTAGACTGTGAATTAAATTAACATAAATTGTACTTTCTCAATATGTTGTGCAAATTTATCGCCCAATGTAATTGAACTTGAAGAAAACGAAATGATATATAACGACTTTCATCAGGACTTAAAAAGTCAACTGTGAGAGTTTGAAGTGGTACAAACTAATGAGTAGCAAAGAGTTACACTGGGCACTCTATATAATGAGGTGTACTTTGTTACTAAGAAGTATAAGTGAAGACATTAAATTATAGTAGTTGGAAGAATCTTCCATGATTTTAAAATATAGAATTAATTATACAGAGGCTTAAAACATGGATACTTTAAATCAAAATTAATTAATTTGTCTCCTTTATCATCTTTTCTTAGAAATTATGAAGTTTTCACTCTTTTCATCATTCTAGGATTTGAACCATGAATTGGATAAAAGTGATGTGACATTTCGAATAACAAACACTTTTGGTTTAGTTTCACATAATTAATTGTTACTCGACAATTGTTTGGTAGTATTACACTTTTTTCAGAAGTTAAACTGTATTTTGCGATATTTGCAAAATTTTGAATTCCTGTCTACCCACGTATATATGTCATAACTCTGATGAGAGCATTGTTTAATGAATTGAAAATCAGGGAAATTTCTAATTCCTTGAAAATTGTTTAGATCTCCTTTTTGTTTTGGTGAAACAATGTTTCACCACATAATAACATATTCATTAATATTATTCATATTTATCGAAAATTGTTTGAAACTTAATGATCGTATAAAAAATTAACAAGATTTTTTTGAAATTCCTTTCAGAGTCCTTTTCTTTAAACTTTGTTTCGTTGTTTTTTCCAATTGCTTGGTCCCAATGTTCATCATTACGTCAAATATTGCATTTTCTGGTTTTTTTATCTATGGAATTGGTTTTTTCAATAGAGCAATTATATTCTCCGCTGAAAATGTTGCTTTTTCGAATAGATTTTTCGTTTCCTGTGCTTTCCTTTGATGTTCCTTGAAGTTTATCCAATTTTAATTGTATCACCTCTTGATAATGAGTTAGTAGCCCAAAATTATTTTCAATGAATCGAACCATTTTTGTGAAGTATTGCTAAGGTTTTGAATTATATTAGGTATTTTAACAAAGTGTTATGTATAATATAATATCCATAATATGTTCTTTATAAAGTGTTCTCCAATTAAAAATATAAAACATACATCTCCGTATGTCGAATAAATGATTTTTCAGTCTTTTCAAGCAAAAGATTTGTTTATAGATGTGATAGAATCAGTTTTTGAATAAATTTTGAATATGTTACTCAAAATTCAAATCCAGTAAGACTACTAAAAATAGTAGAAGAGACTGAAAATTAACATTCTAGATTAATGCTTAACCATGCTTGGCACTATCAAGCATATCCAACAATATGTAAATGATATCATATTATTGAATATAATAAACTAACAGTTATATTATTGAATATAATATAACTGGTCAGTATTCTGTTTCGAGTCAGTCAGTATTCTAGTAGCATCTGAAGAAGTCCTTTGTAACGACGAAACGCGTCATGCTATGTTGTCAATAAAGTGTAAATCAAAAGTTCAAGTGTTTGAATTTTAGCTTATATTCAATTATAATGGATTTACATCAAGTAAACGCCAATACTATTCAATATTTTGAAATACATAATATTATGTGTGTAATTTGGAAGACTTTCAATTGTAACATTCGTGTATATATACCTATAACGATGTATATATGTGGCAGGAAAGAACTGAAAATTTGACAAAATATTACCGTATGTTTTACGATACTCTTTTAGTTAAATGTGATTTCCGGAAGCATTTGTCATGGGAATAATTCCACCAGTGCAACGAAATTGAAGAACAGGAACTATGGAAAACTGCATATATTCAATAAGGTTGATTTATTCGTAACTGAGAGTATATGATTCTTTTCATTTAGGTACTGTGTGCTTTTCAGAATGAATATTTCGTTTGGGTTGAGCTCGTAAGCATTAGGAAAAATCATTAATTTTTCTCCAAATGTAACTGGCGCATCGAATGTCGTGAAAAATTTATCAATTATAAAAATCATATTTTTATGAGGAAACGGAAATGAGCCAGCTGATATTCGACTCGATATAGATGGTAAAACCTTTTGGTTGAAGTGAAGAAATCTGAAAGAAGGTATCTAATGAGATGGACCGACAGATTGAGAGAAATAACTCCCAATGCAAAAGAAATATATTTGACATTAGACAAAGTTATTATAATTGATGAGCCAATACTCGAAGAAAATTAATATCAAATCAACGTGAAAGAATATTCAAATAATTCCATAACAATATTAAAAATATGTGCATGACTTACTTTTCGAAGTACTACTTCTTTGACGCGACAAAGTTAATACTAACAAATTATGTAATTTTCTTTTATTTGTAAATTACATCAGTGGTAACTGTCGCATCCAAAGAAGAAGAAGTACTTCGAAATGCGTTTGTGTTATGAAATATGAGAAATATTTGAAAAATTTTTTTTAATTCAGTGAACCTACAGTTTAACGCTGGTTCCGAACAGCCATTGGGCTTGTAATCAAAGTACATTACCCAGCATATATTATTCATTAAACTATTTAAATCAGGACATACACAAACATCCATGGCTTCAGCGGGGCTCGAACCTGAGTTCTACTGCACCAGAGTCGGGTGTTCTACCGACTAAGCCACGGAGACAGGCATTTGGAAATTATTCCACAGAAACTAGTTCCAGATAGTATTATTATATCTGACTCAGAGTAAAAGATAATATGAATCGTTGGTAATTTCATAATAGTGTACTTGATGAATTTGTTTTAAGCAATTTTTGCTGAAAGAACAATCTTAGATTTCATTCGATAAAATATGTATCAAATTATTTCGATCAGAAAGTTTGTATCATAGAATTTTGAATATTATTGATATAAGTGGAGGATTATTAATTTTATGTCACTACACACTTCAGCCAACATGTTGAGAAATTATAATTTTTTTAAGACCAATGAGAAAGTTAAAAATACAGAGAAAGGAAATCGAATGACATATTTATCTAGAACAGTTCATACCAATATTATGTAGAAATGCTTGAATTTACTCGAGTGAACCTCGAGTAATGATATTATTTAATAAGGCACTTTTAGATTGGAGAACGAAAATCGTTCGAAAGTGGAACCTGAAGCACTCGATTGATGTTGCTTTCAGAGAAAAAATGTGTATAAACAATTCACTGGTAAACTACCTATCATTGTTATCACGAAAGTGCAAATAACATGATGGGTCATTACTACAACAATAGAACTACTGTAAACACGCCTATTTCATATATTTCATTAGATTTGCTGGTAACAAAAGTGAAGAATATAATGAATAACGGCGAATTTGTTTCCGAATGTAATGTTGATATTTAATGTCAGGTATTCAATTCATTCATGTAAGTTTACTGTTGATGTACTCTCTGCAAATATCATTGAAAGGACGTAGCGTGATCATCGAAGTCAAACAACGTGAACCAATTCTTTTCGAACAAATAAAAAATTCCGGATGTTTCCCCCATTCTGCAGTTCAGTGGCGTGCCAATAAAAAGTTAGAAGTTAATTAAACAAACCTTGATTTTTTTTTTCTGAAATTTTAATGACGTCTAACTGGTCTTCGAATATGTCACGAAAAACTTGAACATTGAAAACGAAATTCTTGAACATTCTTCATAAATATTGAATAACGAGCTTCCTGAAAATGCGTTTTCATTTTTGAGTGAATCAACTGAATCTGAACATAATATAAATTACGTTATTTTCTATAACCTCAGGAAAGGCTTTCGAAATGTCAATTTATTCATCACAATTTTCATTTATATTTCATTTTTATTCGTGGTGTAACTTTTTTGAGCAACAAAAACTTTTTTTTTGTATCATACTTCTTTCGTTCATTTCTTATGTTTGTGTTAACATTTTTTTCTACTTTATTTTCATTTACTTTCAGGGTGTTAGATGGAAGAATAGCTCATGATAATTCTCGCCTCTTCTTATGTAGCAAAATATGTGTGGCAATAAAGGCGTTTATTATTATTATTATTACTTTCCTAATTTACAAGCGTTAATATTCGCTTAACGCTTTTACATCATTATCAAGAATGAATTCTTGATAATGCTGTAAAAGGCGTAACTAGTCGAATAAAGAATTGTTCAGTCAGTGATTTTTAGACAAATTTTTATTATTACCTCTCATTTAAAAAATACTTGTCTAAGTTTCACAAAATTTATAATACATAAATACTTTACAGTTGTCAAGTATTTATGTATTATAAATTATGGAAAGGAGTTATAGAAATGAACACCATTGAAACATTTACGGAAGCTTGACACATAAAAACGCATCTGTGCATTGCGCTTCTATAAACCAATATCTGAGGTAAGCAGTTAAAAAAGATGACAGAATACGAAAAACGACCTACTCCAAATGATATCGGAATAGATATTTCGAATTCAACCAAGCAAATTTCTTGAGTAAGGCAACATGATCTGGCATCCTATTTACACTTTTCATTAACGTCTTCTTGAGGCTATCAGAGAAGTTCTTGAAATTTTTAGTTTGGAGGGATGATAAAGTTTATCCACAGAGAGAAGTCAATCATAACGAATTATTGAGTCGATTTGGTTTAATCTCATTGCAGGGCGGGAGAGAAACTTTATCACTCAAATTTTGTGCAGATTACTGCACAACAGTACTGATTATCCTCCTCTCTTGTCCGCTTTGAAATATCGTGTTCCTAGACGAAATTCTCGTACTGCAAAATTATTCCACCTAGAGACTCCAAGGACCAACTGGCTAATACAATCCCTCATTTGGTTTATGGTTTCTACATTCTATACAGTTGCTAATAAATGTGACATTTACTTTGCCCCCTTACAAGTTATTATTAGGAGTTATGTGAAACAAAAGAATTGATTTAGATTGAGTTCTTTGTGATATTTCATTTACTTTTATTACTTACTAATTAGTCACTTTTTCAATTTTTTTCAGATTGGATTAGGCTCTTTGTTATATTTCTTTTCATTTTATTCATTTAGTTATTTGTTTATTATTCAACATTATGTAATTATTTTCTGTAATTGGGTATGATACCTGTTGAGAATACACAACTCATTATTAGTATTATTATTGATATAAGATAACACTCTTGTTGATTTACGTAGTCCATATATGAACCTACAACTAAAATTAACAATCTTTTGCAAACTACACCCAGTGAGAGAGTAAAGTCAATGGGTAGTAGAGAATCAAACCATAATTCAAAATCGACAAGACCACATTTCACAAAGTTTTCTCTCAGAGCCAAGCTTAAGCATTGTCCAGATCTGTGAAGCAGTCTAAGAACCAAATATAATTTTCTTATCAACAACCCCACATGCTCCCTGAAATAAAAACGCCAATCGAAGATTATTCCCAAATTTTTTTTCGTTTCATTATGAATTTCACATTTTTGTTTTCGATTTATTTTTAATTCAGTACGCCACTGGACTCTCACTGAGTGCAACGCCCCACATGTATTGATGCGTTGTCAACGATGCGTGTCTTTACAAAAGCGAAGTGATATAGAAATGCGCTTGAATCAAGTTGTACTGCACTACTACTACTGTCAGTGGTTTGACACACTGATCTTATTAGTGGACGTAGGTCGATTCGTTTTTTCTTGTATCAGCGTAAATAATCACAGAATTCCGGTTTGGCCAGACGTGAATACCATTTTCTAGAGTTCATAGATTGAAATTTATTTATTATCACATCATTTCCGAACGACTTTACTTGTTTCTCGAAATATGTCTCTGTTTCATTATTTATGTTTAAAGTTGTTGTACAGTGTAGATTCTTCATTATATTATCAGACTTCCATTGCCTATAGATTTAATTTCAAATTCTGAAACAAACTATGATTAATTGAAAATTTAGATGGTGAATACCTATATAAGGGCACCTTCTATCTCGGATGAAACGTCGTGTGAATTCGATTTCCGATTTTAACAATCGGTCTGTTCATGGGCGGTTAGAATTATTTAATTTTATTCCAATTAAATTTATATTATTTTATTTTGTTTATTTCATACCTATATTTGTCCGTTGTAATTTTCAATTAATAATAGTTTGTTTCAGAATTTGGAATTAAATCTATAGGCCATGGAAGTCCATCAATATAAATTCATTATTTATGTTACTAAATCCACATTTGTTGATTTTCTTTTGTTATTTCACCAATATAAAGTGAATGAAGAACATTCAGCTTGACAATTCGGTTTCACAAAAATTAAATTGATTAGGTAGTTACTTAAAAATTTTTTCGGGGGGTTTCTCCATTTTCAATAGCAAAAGTGAACACTTGTTTTTCTAAACACTCTTTTATCAAAACACTTGAGTTTATCCAAATTAAAATTTTTAAATACTTTTCATTTATACGTACTATAGTAATATGGTGAAAGAGAAAATCGGGCCATGTATGAAAAAGCGTTATATACGACTAATACAATCAATTTTTCCAATTACAAATGTAGAAGAAAGTGATCAAAAATTTCATAATATCCATAACATATAAAATACCATTGGTGAAATTCACAACAGATCATCAGAGCACAATATTGAAACCATTTTCAAGAACAGAAGAATTGTGGATTCATTTTCAGTTTATAATAAAGGAAAAAATCTAATAAAAGAAAAAGTTTACTACATCAGATGAATTGTGCTATTTGTGACGCATATTACATAGCCAAAACTGGACGGAACATCTGAATAAGAATGAAACAACATAAATTCTTCAAATAACATTATAAACATTTCACATGACTGTCAACATATTGAATAAATAGTAACCAATCTAAAGATTCAAACTCACTGAAATTGCTGCCTATGAATGAGAAAACTTTGGATATCTTCTGCAAGAATTGACATTTCTGGAAAACCCGATATTGAATGACTAACTTTTCTTCAGTTTAGATTTTGAAAATGGGATAACACCCTGAAATAATTGTCACGCAATTAATATTATTATGTGTGAAACCAACCCAAGTGTTTTATATTCGAATATATGAAACAATGTTTCACCAAGAGATTAGCGAATACTCACTGAATAGAGATTACGGTAGCTACGTAATTTATATGAAAACCTACAAGGTGAATTATCGCCAATCAAAAATAGAAAACTGTCAATTTCTTTAAATGGACAACTAAGATAGATTTTCGATGTTGAAAGGTGAATAAGTGATATCCATTGCCTATCAATAAGCTGGATGAAGTAATATAATTTCAAATATTTAATAGTGTTGGCGTTTACTTGATGTAAATCCATTATAATTGAAAATAAACTTAAATTCAAACACTTGAACTTATGATTTACACTTTATTGACTACTTAGCATGACGCGTTTCGTCGTTATAAACGACTTCTAATTCTCTTCTAATTCTAATACGACTTTATTCTGTTAGCAACTGAAGAAGTTTTGTAACGACGAAACGCGTCATGCTATGTAGTCAATAAAGTGTAAATCATAAGTTCAAGTGTTTGAATTTAAGTTTATATTCAATATAATTTTAGTTGTTTTCGAGAAAGAATCGTTACTGGATTACGTTCCCCATAACGCCCTCTAGTTTCCTACTGCAACATCGAAGTGGGATAATCTCATATGTGTATGAAATCTAATTTTGAAGCTCTTA